TTTGATTCAAGGGTGATATTGTAAGGAGAAATTAGATGCTAGTCACTCTTAGGGATTAAAATGTTCAAATTGAAGACGCGATATTTGCGTTACGGTAACAGTTGGTTTCGAAACACTCTTGATGCTGGTCCCACAGCCCACAGACCCAGATGGTTCAGTTCTCAAAAAGCGAATAAAACCAAGACATTACAGTGAAACCTGGACATCAGATGGTACATCAATTTTGGCCGGCTACGTGCCAATTTACCCCGAAAAATATTAGAGGAAATAAAATATTATTTAACTATTGTCCTAAAATTTATGACAGAAAAAAAAATTGAGTGATACGTTCAGAGACACTTGTCGAAGGATGCAAAGGTTGGGAAAGGAAAGCTTACGAATTTCCTGGGCACAAAGTTTACTCAATAGCTGTTGATTCGCTATTTTTCTTGAGCTTTACTAAACGCGTTTTCAGACACCCCGACTTACCAGCCTCTTCTCCTGTGAGACACTTTGCTTCCGGAAACCTGAAAACACGATGTCGTGTAGCTATTTTGGCTCTTAGCCGTTTCAACTTCGCAAAGGCACACACATTTTACCGCTATGTAAGAGGTGGCCAGCAACAATTGGTCCACATATACATGTGTGACCTTTCTCCGCTGTTTCCACAGATGGGAGTTTTTCTACTTTACAAACCTGCGAATCAGCTAACAAGTCTTGTTCCCACGATTTGCCTCTGTACTGCCCGCCGCAGTTCCATCGATATAGACCCATACAACCACCTTGTGCTAATTCTGAAAAAATACAGCAACAAGCATGATAACTACAGACCCTTTCACTAAAATAGCTGACAAAAAAGACCTTTAAACATTAAACTGCTCAGGATATTTATGCTGGCATCCAAATATGGACATCATAAAGCACAATGCACTCGCGTTTTCCCGCGGCTTTTTTCCTTGAATTTTGATTGGCTCGTTGAGTTATTCTCCATTGTTCTGATTGGTCATCGTCGATATTTGCGAATGGTTTTGCAGCAATCAATCAAAAATAGCTAGATGGTATAAGGAGCCGCTAAAACAAACCTGACAGGCGTTTCACGAGGTATTCCTGATTATTCGAAGCTTCTAAATATGGAATGATGGCCCGTAACGTCGGAGCCTGGTCGGCTTTGGTAACAGCTACTTGTCTGGCTGCGCTGAGACTGATTGCTGAGGAAAATTCAAGAAAGTAAAAATTCAAGTCTTATTGTTTGTTACTGCAAAATTTCTAGAGCTTAGAATATCGGATCGAGGTCAGCACAGGAGTAACTACGCGCCTACCCCTCCCCTAATCCAATATTAACCCTAAATTGTGATCAGTTGACTGTTGTCGAGCTAGGGGAGGGGTAGGTGCGGATAACGCTCCCTAATTTATCATGTCCGGTTTATAAATTTACATTTGGTCCTGAAGATCGATGTATTTGTTTAGTTTTTTACATGAAGCTGCAGAGTGCCCCCTTAAACACGGAAGGACCTCAGAGAGAGGAATGCTGAAGCACAATGGTGGATTACTCACTTCCAACTTGAAGTTCTGAGCAGCCAATTCTACAGAGAGTCTCATTAACGGCTTCAATCTGCTCCACAAGCCGACACAGTATCGTTTGACAAAGCCACTGTCAAGAACAAAGTAAATTTCTTTTGGAAACAGCAGATAAAGAAAGGAACATTGAAAACAACTAGTGATAAATAGAAAGCAACGGTTTGGGCTTGGCGAAAAAACAGTTAATTGTCTGAACGCGCCACTTTGTTTCAAGTAATGCATGAACCATAATCTTCCCCCCAGTGTTTTATTTTCTGTCGACCTCTTTTTCAGGCATAAAAGGACTACGAATATTATGGGCATAGTTGCTGGAAACCCTTGAGTCCATTATATAAAAACTGTACCGTTTTATTCTGTTTTGATACACCTTTTTAGAGAACAATCGTGCGACCGTATCGAGCCGCCCTGTTTGTTTTGCTTGCTAACATTTTTCAAGCTCGCGCGATGTTCGCGTCCAGATCTCACATGGTTAAAAACTCAGAAATTTATGATAACATAACAGAAGAAACAGAAATGAGAAGGCAAAGACAGCTATAACCGTTGTATGACCTGATGGACGGAAAACGGCGGAAATTCAACTGTAAATGATGTTGACTATATATCAGCTTAAAAGTAAACGAAAAAATTCAGCGGTGAAACTTAGAAAAAGATCCAAACTAGAGAAAAAGTATGCAAAGACAATCCAGGAGAATGTAAATAACATTGGGCACAAAATTAATGCAAAAACAATTCACAAAATTTCCATGCAAAATAAAACATAAAATGTAACGAGTAAAACTGAGTAGATGCATTTCTTTAAGAATACGGACTCCTGGCATCAGGCTTTATTGTTAACCCTCAAACTCCCAGAAGTCATTAACATGTAACTTCTCCCAAAAATGTTCATAAATTATCCAACAAACAGGTAATAAGAATATACAAAATAATTAGGCAGAAGATGCTATCTTGATCTAAGACTAAATTCTCATTAATAATTAATTAATAATTAATTCTCATTAATAATTAATTAATAATTAATTCTCATTAATTAACAAGGTAATTTGCAGTAGCAAGAGGGGAGAATTAACAATCAGATCTAAGGAGTTGAAGGGATAATGTCTACCTTTCTGCAGTTCTCAATCCAGTGATCCAGATCTGTTCTTGTCACAGCATATTGGGTCCAAATCTGAGATCAGTAAAATGCGAGTTTAAAATGAAAAGAAAAGGCATACTTTTGTTACATGAAACAACATGAAACTGAGGCGTTTGTTTGTTGCCTGCATTCAGCAGTGTTATAGATACAATTTTCTAATGGGGGTAAGGGGTGGGTAGGGAAATAAACCTATTCTCTTGAAAGAATTAAAAGTGATAATTGTTCTAAGAAACAGGTACATTCATAATACAATTTAAACTGTTCATTAAATCGTCCAAATTTGAAGTACCAAGAAAACAAAGGAAGCTTTGATTTCTTAGGAGACAATTCAATAAATTCAATGGTTCAATTGAGACCATGTGCAATGTACCTCATCAGCTTTGGTGCTATTATAGCCTGCATCATCGTCATCCCTTGAAGAGCTGAGATCGGGTGACCTGTGATGATAAAAATACATTAGATATGATGAAAAATTGTCCACATTGTCCTTGTCATAACAAAACAGTGGCGAGACTACAGGTGATACAAATATGAAGCATGTTCAACAGGGTACAGTAAACTTTGTACTTGAGTTTCAGTGAGCTACAGTGCGACATGCAGGGACACAAAGCACAAAGATTGGATCTACAAATCTTGGGTTTGCCATGCTAGACTGCACAGTGAGGATACCAAGATGGCACCCCTTGGAAAAATACAGAGTCTAAACACACCTTCTTGCAATCCTGTATACACTAAGTGGGGGAGTAAAGTCGTGTCGGTAGCCAGACCAGAAAGATTGTCCACGCCCTGGTGTAAGGGCATCTGATGAGGCAACTAGTTCACAAGAAAAAATTCAAAAGAAAAATGTCAACTCTTTTTATCTCAGAGAGATCAGCATGCAAATTCTCTTCATTGTGTTAAAACAAAGTCAAGCACTCAGGTATTGAGAATGATGAAAATTATCACGTAAGAATGCATTTACCTCTATGTAATCTTCCCTCTTCTTGCTGTTGTTCTCTGAGGTACTGTTCAAGTGAGTTTAAATCTGTCATGTGATCACTGGAGGGAACTAATAAACACCATGATTCAAATTAACTGAAACTAAATTGGAGCAATTTTCAATTTTGTCAAAAAAAACTCTGGGATTGCATTGGTTTCAATTTCCTTTGCCATGTGATTGGTCTAGAAAACTTCCACCACTCTCTAAACCAATCCGATGCAAAACTAAAATCAATTACAACTTGGTCACCCACATTTTTCTGTGTTTTAGGCAATTTGGTGGTTTTTACTTTGAGTTCCCATTGGCTCTAAGAGGTACCTTCCCTCCCTCTGATTGGCTGTTGTGATTACTTTCAATTGGTTCGGGTCTTATGACAGTCAAACAGAAAGTGCTTTACATGTACACACAATCAGGCAGCAAATTTTTCACAACCAGCTTGAGACTCATGAATAAAGGGGTAAGCTTCCAAAAAAATTGTGGTGCTGCATTGGTGGGAGAGTATAAAAGGGTAATTTGGTATTATCAACTAAGTTGATAATGTGACTTGGCCACCATAAAGTATTTAAAAGCTGACATTTCGAGCATTAGCCCTTTGTCAGAGTGAATTGATACTCACATGGTGACCGGCCTGGGGATGAGTGCCTTGACCTTCAATAAGAACAAAAACAAATTTATTTCCTTTAATTCATAAGATCATTATTTTCACTTTGTTGTGACCACTGATGCCCCCTTAAGTCTTAAGTTACTGAGTCCCAGATGCAAGTCCCTGACAGTCTGCAATATTCAATAGTCTACACATTAACAGAGTCACAAACCTTGTATCAGGACTGCTCACTGTCTCATTGTAAAATGATGGTGTACCCATTATGGGAGATCTTGGTGAGCTACTGTTAGACTGAAAGACAATCATTGCATCTTGTTCCACAGTATATTCAACAAAACAACACCTGCATTTAGTTTTATCATATGACGCCATATGGCTCTGCCTGCCTTCTTGTTGAAAAGCATTATACAAAAATCCCCTTGTATTAGCATCCTCTACTAATTGCTATATCTAAAAGACCTCCCCCCCTCCTTTGGTCAATGGAAGGGTGGGTGATGTTTTCCATTGGACAATTCTCTATGCAGAGGGTAGCCCAGTATCTTACCTCAACACTTATATACTAGATAACAACTGGGCCCTGTAGTAAGTGACAGGAAAAAAAATCTTGACTTTCCTAAACCATATATGTCACAGAAATATTTTTTCAGCATCCTTACCCTAGGTGGGGTTCCATGAGGCCGAGGTGGTGTCCTGGTGATGGTTGTAGTCATGATCATGGTGGGGGAGGAAGTGCTGGGGATAATAGAAGGAGAGACAGCAGATCCATGACTAGTAGGAGATTCAGGTGGGGCCAGCTTGAATCCTGAGTCTATTGAGTTAAAACTTGATTGAATTATTGAATGGACCCAACTCCAAAGTGGCAGTTAAAAATCAAAATCCCATGAGGATAAAAGTTTCCACATCAAGAAATTTATAGAAGCATCCAATCCTGCATCCTTTGGTTCAAAATCTTATATAGTTTTATTGGAACAAATGCTGTTTCTGAGGAAAAACCTTCAATAAGAATCTGGGTAATTTTTTTACCATCTGCTTGATTTGGGTATAAAAAATAAGCACTGCTAACACTAAAATAGGCCTTGAGAGGGTATGGAGGGGCCCCCCTATCAATTTCCCTGAGGCTTATTACAGGTTATTACAAGGGGCTCATTAGAGAAGAAAGGTTGTAGCAGATAGGGGGCTTAACAGGGGGGACTTCACTCAAAGAGAAGGAGCTCATTAGCGATGAGGGACTTTTTATACGAGTGGCTTATTGGGGAGGGGGCTTATTTTTTTATCTTTTTTTAAGGGGGGGGGGGGCTTGTAAGCTATGGCCTAGTTGTTCAAAGGCCAATCAGCACTAACCCAAGGTTAAATTTTAATCCTGGATTCTTCATGTATTTGTTGAAAAGCCTTTTTAGGATAATTCTTGTTAGAGCATCCAATAACCAATTTGTAGACAAAAAGAATTATATTCATTTTTCTTTTAAAGTCTCAGGTCTAATTTCAGCTTTGAACAACATGGCTTTGGGGATCTCAATGGTTGGAAGGAGGGGCCTCATGCATTATCTCTTTGCCTGGCTTATGTTATTTTTTTTATCGTTTATTTCTTTTTCTTTTCCAATCACATAGCAATGTAATACAAATCAAGTCCAAACCTGGATTACTTGCAACTCTCACATACAACTGATAACATAGTCAATTAACCCTTTCACTCCCATGAGTGACCAAGACAGAATTTCTCCTTACAATGTCAATACAATATCAACCGGATGAGTGTTGAGAATAAAGAAAAATATCAATTTGTGGATAACTAGTTGATCCAACACTAAATTCTCTGAACTAACATGATAAGAATTGCATGGCTGACAAGGATAGGAAGATAGAATAGTGAATACTGGAAGGAGAGATTTTCTTACAACTTCCATCAAAGTCATCAGTGCAAATAACATAGTTGTCAAAGTCTCACACATCTCTTTCACTCTGTACCTGTTGGTTGAATGCCAAGAAGCTTTCTTTGATCCAATGAAAGCACCACACTATTCTGTCCCAGAACAGGTCTCATATAATGATAGAGATCCACGATGAAACAGAAGGTGAACCAGATTGCCAAGCCACAAACTAAATATATAGGAATATTGGATCAATATCAGTATCTGGGCAACTGCCTACCTACCCCTCCCCTAACCCAACATTAACCTAAACTTGTTGTCAATTGACTGTTGTTGAGTTAGGGGAGGGGTAGGTGAGCAGTTGTCTAGATAATGATATTGATCCAGAACATTTATGTTAACACTTTCCACCCTAACATCAGTATGATTTTATATTCTCCATAATGTTCTCTATACATTTCTTGAGGAGCTAACAAGGAGAATTTGTTTAACAATCAAGAACTTCTTTAGTCGTTTATTCTCAATTGACCTTCATGTTTGATTCAGGGGTGATATCGTACGGATAAATTTGATGCTAGTCCCTCCATGGACTAGCATTTGACACTTCCGGACACTGACACCTTAAGTTGCACAAGAATTTGGCCTTAGATGTCTCCAAAAACTACAACTAGTCATACTGCTAACAAGACAACAGTGTGGACATTGGTTAAATTAATCAAGCTGGTTTCCTTAGTGTCATCATCAGTGATACCCAAGTTTAAATGCCACAGCCCCTCTGGATAACAGCCATGTGGTTGAATGGGTCACCCTACCTAAATTAAGTTTAGTTTACCTTTTAACAAACCAAGTATTAATCAATTATCTGAAGTCTTCTCTAACCTTTTCTGAAACATGTACAGTCTGATATTTAAACAAAATTTATGAAAATTCAGTCAAAGCCTTCACTTACCAACAAACCACACCAGAGGATGTTCAAATTCAAAATATTCTGCCACAGATCCAAAAACCCTGAAATTTTCGAAAATTTGAGATAATTTGTTAAAAGTATCTCCCAATATTGTATGCCTGAAACATACACTTATTTCCACAAAAACTCTGGATTCAAACACTCTATTTGTTTTTGTTGTTGTTTTTTTTAAACAAAATTTGGAAGGGAAAAACAATAACATAGTAATGAGAATAAAGAAAAATATCAAGTAGGGGATTATTGGCTAATCCAATATTAAATTCTCCAAAGTAACATCACATAAATTGTATGGCAGACAGTGAGGAGAATTTCTAATGAAATCTTGGGAGTTAGAGGGTTAAAAACCACCAAATGCAAAATGTATCTTAATCAGCACTGTTGTATCCAATTTTGAAGTATTTTTCTATTCCAGTTCCAAGCCCCCTCGGATATAAGTCGCTCCGTTTATACACCCTTCTAAAATCTCTTACAAGGTTCAAAGAAGGCCTAAGGCTTGCATACTGTAAGCGGCAGTTGGATATATAATTATGGTATTGTATGACAGCTCCATAAAAACTTTTCGCTCTTAAAGCAAACTACAAACCAAATTAAAATAAATGGAAAGATTAAAGATAAGAGTAATATTTCCTTGTTTAATTAGACATATCTGTTAACTTACAACTCAGTGAAGAAAATTGCGGCCAAAATTACGTTGACAAACACCCACGTGAAGGCTGCATGAGAACGCTTTGTCATCTGCTTCCGCTGATACGAACGTTCAATAATCGGGCTTTCGCTCTTTAATATCCGTCTTTGCATTTTCTCACCTAATGCGTTGAAAAATATGACTCGATTCAAATAGGAAAAGTCGTTGTCACAAGCAGGGATTATGCCGCCATTATAAATTTTCATTAAGAGCGACACATTGATGGTTCGTACTTGACAAAAAGTACTCAGGTTCTGTATCCAGACTCCCTCAGATTGAGTATCTGGGAGAAAATTGGGAACTGGGGCTAACTTTTCTTGGGTTACTCGCGAATCTCCCGGATATGCGGAAAAAAACAGATCGCATCACGTATCTTTCGGTCCCGGATAGTTCGCTCGATCTCCTTGATAAAAATGATTAATTTCTCTCCCTCAAAAATACGGGTAAGAATCAACTGGAGATGAGTCGTTGGCCTTCGTTGGCCAAGTTAGACATCGTGAAGCGCCCGACAATTTCATTCCTATTAAACAATGAAGATCCTGAATTGAGAGTACTGTCTTTATTTGACTAGCTTAGCAGGAAAGGAAAAGCAAGCTTTCTCTAAGGGGGAGGGGTTTCAAATTACTCGTAAGTTTAAAATGGAGATGTTACTTGACAAAAATCTCGATCACTAAGAGCCCATTACTCCTGCGATCACCTATTGTCCATTGTGATTTCACTGATGTGTGAATAGATGATAGAGATTCATCACCTCGACCTTATCTCGCCCTCCTACACGCTGAGAAAGAACTGTTCAACTCGATGAAAGTTAGCCTCCCGTCAATGAATTGAACACACAAGGAAAGGCGGGGATTCTTGGGTAATTTCAAGAATTAACTTGGAAAGAAACAAGCAAGAAACAAAACAAGGGAGAAAGGAATCTAAAATAAATGCACTTGTGGTTCTATGCTTAAAAAAAAGAAAGCCACAAAAGAAATAATTTGATTTTTTAAGCCTTTTTTAAAACATTTTGACAACTGTCATCAAATGGCAATGTCCTAAATGAGGGCTGAGACTCATTTTACCTTCAACATCATGTAAAACTGTCAAACTGACCAATGTCAGAAGCAGCCTCAACGGAAAACCCAGAGGTAACTGGAATGTACAGAAAAACAATAAACAAGTGTTGCTTAGTAATTCTTTTATTTTCAACTCAAGAACAACCCTTGTGCAAGTGGTTGTTTCAATTGTTCTCAACAATACAATTTGTTTTCAAAGTCCACACTGTCCCACTCATGCAAACACACTGTCCGAGAATGCAAAGTAATGTGGACAACAAATGTTATCATAGAATAAAGCAGCAGAAAGGTTCTACAAAATGAAAAAAGGCTTTCATAATTGACTAGGAAACCTGTGATCTCCTACAAAGGGCCTAACAAGCCTTACCACTAACAGCTTTACCAACCTGGCCTTTCTGGACTTAATGTACCTTTCAATAAATAGAACTTTCTGCCCTGAGCCCATGCTATGTTTGCATTACCTGATCAGTCAGCAAAATGATAGTGACATGAATTCAGCACATCTGTTGAACTCCACAATTCACATCATTGAAAGATGCACTTAAGTTGATTGATATTATTACCTCTACAGCCTCAATAACCTGACACAACCCTAGCAGCAAGGTTTAAACATTACTATGTAAATGAGATCATAAGAATCCTATACAAAGTTTAGCCCATTTCATTTCAGTACATTTCTTCAAGTCTCTACTACAATGCATAAATGTCTGGAGCAAAAAATACCTAGGCATAAATGATCAAACACAGCTCAGTTTCTTCAACAACTTTTTGGTTGTTTAAGGCTTGGATGGACACACGATAGAATCCAGCAAAAGTTCCATCAGTATCAGTGACAGAACATCATGATTAGCTACAAGAAACTACAGCAGCACTCTGTGCCATAACTTTGGCCAATATTGTTGTTCTCAGCTTGCATATAGCAAATGTCCCTGGTTGATGCTGGCAGCTTTTAGTGCATAGTATAACTTGATAACTTGAAACGCAAGTCCAAGGACAAAACATGTAACATTTTGGAAGGAGGTATATACGTAGATAAAGAAGCACTGGAGCAAATGTATTGTGATTTTCCACAAAGGTCTGGAATAACATTTCATCCTTTTCGACACATACTTAAACATATCATGATCTCCTCTTGTTCTGCCTTTCTCAGTACAATACAAAGCATCCTGGTAGGGCTGGCTCATCGTAGACATGGTCAAATGTTCTTGTACAAGGACATTTTTGAGGCTGGGCTCTCTTCTCTGACAACTTTCATGTTGGAGAGCAAGGTTAGCAAAACAATAAAGAAACATCCTCTAGGGATTTTTTCGGCAAATATTGCAAACTAAGTTTTCAACATGAAAAGCTACTTCCAATGTTTCTAATCATTGCTCAAAAGCTTAACTTAGACTAATGAGCTTGATGCTGATAACTCGTTAGCAACTTGAGCAATAATTGCTTCTTCAGCATCACTAATTCTTTCAACCCCGCAGGAAGTCAGCTGCACATGTTTCTCGAGAGACATGCATGTCTTGTATCTACATTGTGACTGATCAAAAAATCTGTACTAAAGGGGGTTTAATTTCTATCAACTACCAAATTAAAGAAAACATATTTACATGTAACTATACACATGTGTATCAATGATAATTTGATTTTATGAACAATTAACAAAAATATCCCCAGTGGATTTTTTTAGTCAGTAAAAGTGGTTGGACTCTAAGCCACAGCAACCAAAAATACCAAAAGTAGAGATCAACCTTCTGTGTTAATTGTATTCTCATCAATTTGTGATAAAGGATAAAGATTTAATAACCAAGTCCTTCAAGTTTGTCCCAATGCAGATACAAAGAATGTGTCACAGCAAGTGCACAAAAAAAAAACAAGGGGTAATCATTTTACTTGTTTAAAGCTAGCAGAGTTAACCCAGCAGCACAGATACTTCCCACAGTGAATAAGCTCTTCCACATGGTTTGTGACTGCGAAGAATCAGAGAAGTGAGCAACGAATCCATCCTGCAAAAAATAAGATATCTTAAATTAATACATTATTTCTGAAGTCAAATATATTCAAGCCAGATCTACAAATACACTAAAAAGTATTCAAAGTCCAAACATGCATCATCAATAAAAGAGACAACTTGCATGTTCAAGTGAGCAACACTGTTCGATGAAAATATACATTCCCTTTCTTGTCAAATAGGTAACACACGAACACTAGTTATAATATCCACAATCACTCCTTAATGACTCATGCACGGTAATAAAGCCAGCAGTTTTTGAGAAATCTATTAAGTTCTGGAGTAACAACCAAACCAAGTAAAAGGAACTCTCTCCCAGAGATCCCAAATATCCCTTTATTGGAATAACTGCAATTTTGTGTCAGTCAATGTTACCAGCTGCAAAGTTTGTTAAGGTGACCATACTGCAAGATCAATTATGGACCATCAAAGGAAGGTGACAACCATATCATTGGGAAAACATATAAAAAAAGAATATAGCTCCTTCCCAAGGACACTTATAACAACATTGGGAAAAGCAAAGGTGAAAGAAACAAAATATACCTGTACTAATAATTGAGCGTGATCCAATAAAAAAAAATTGATTTTCAAAATAGAAATTAAAAAAGCATAGTATCTGGACATATTGTAAACACCTTGAAAAAAATTTCAAAAAGCTATTTTTAAGACATCATGTCTAGTGCTGATGTCAACAAGTCTGTCCAACAGCATGTACTACAAAGAGCTAATAGAAAAAAAACTGTAGTTAAAAGATGACTTTTGCTAGTCATTCTGATCATCTATGACCAACTGAGTTAAAGCTGATAACTATTAGTTGAGGATAGAGGAAAAAATTGAACAAAAATAAACGAGAGAGCTTTCATCCAAAGGAAACACAAGATATTGGCATGATATCACAACCTCCCAAGACTTACAAAATAAAGTGATAAATAAAATCATGAAACATATAAATTAACAAATTTTGTTCCAGCAAGATAATAAGGCAATGAATCTAGATTAGATATTATGCAATACTTAGATCAACTAAGCACAACAATGAACTAGAATTGTGAGCTAAAAAAACCAACAAGAAAAAAAAAAAACTAGTCTATTGGCCTATATCAAAATACTGAACTTAATGCCAGTGATATCTTCATAATTAAAAAAAATGGTGAATTGGGGCAAGGCTAAAAAATAACAATTTTTACCGTTCTTAACTAAAAATAAACCTTCTAAAAAGTAAAAGAACAACTATCTCTAAGGGAAGACAAAGTAAATTTTGTCACTTGATATATACTTATGGTTCAATTTTGTTTTGTTCACGCTATAAGTTTTAAAAGCTTTATTACATAATCGCAAATTAAGAATTTCAAATATCTTTACTTGAATTTTGGAGAGTGATCAAAGATTAAAACTATAGGGCAATATAGTGATGCCACGGTTGACAAACGGAATTTTTTTAAATACTTCAACCGAAAATTTGTCTTACATTAGACTTACAAATTAATTTTATTTCAAATAATCCCATCAAATCAAGATCCCAACATGCCCACGAAAACAGAAACATTGTTTATGTCGAGAAAGTTGAAGAAAACATACTGAGGTGAAATAGTATCCCGCTGTTGAAGGGAAATTTTAATTTCGCTTGTTTACTTTAGTAAGGTCCTGTAAATTTTGTCTAGGCAGAAAATTTCATGTAGAATTTGCATTAAAATACTATATGTCAGCAATTCGAGACACGAGAGTAAACGAGACATTGACAGAATAAATGAATGTCTCACTCATAATCAATGTAAATATAGACTGAAATTTGCATTCAGCAAATTACTACAAGGATGCAGCTGGTAGGCGAGATAAAGAGAAAAATATCAAAAAATAGTAAAAATAATATAAAATAAATAAAAAAAGGAGAATAAATTTGAAAAATTCAGAGTTACGACTTACCCAGCCTCCGTTTTCTCTAATCCATGTCAATAAGTTACGGGCAATAAAGGACACAGTCCATTCCACGATCTTCTGAACCATTTCTGGTCGTTGCGTTTCCACGAAATGGTGAGCCACGACTCCGCCGAACACATACAAAGCCACAATTCGGCCCCAATTCGTTTCTTCTTGGAAAATCTCTTGTGCTACACAGACGAACGTACGATATGCCGAGACTGGTGTTATATCTAACTTTTTACAAACTGATTCGAACAAATCAGGGTACTTTGCCTCCGTATCGGTTGCCAGTTTTCGTAGAGTACTCGTTAATACGTTGGTGGGCGATTGAGGAGGAATAAGGAAATGTCGAGGTAACCCTTGGAGTTTGCTCTGTTCAAGTTTGCTCCTTAACCGGTAGGAAATATAGTCCAGAGTCAGTGAACGAGCTATCTCGATGATATTTTTGTCACAACTTGACATTTCAGAAGTATTGGGCGTAAGAGAATGGTCCTCGTTGTTCAGCGCAGCTGTCGCTCCGGCCATCTTGAAATATCGTAGTTAAGAAAAGTGAAAGTAGTCGCACGCAAAGTGTTGCTTTGGCCCAGCAGTTTTTTTCGTTCTTCAAAGTAGTGCCAATCGAGGTAGATGTAATCTTCACACTAAAACAAGAAAAAGAAACATTAGACTAACCTCCGTAAGTGGTCGCGTATTTCAGCGCTGACGCACTACGTCCATGTAGTGAATCACAACCAACTGCTCCCGTACAAAAGAAAGAAAACTACCTCTCACAGAAGTCAGCCAATGTAAAAACACATCGTATTTTACTTGGAACAGCAATTGGTAAAGAAAAAGCAGAGAAGGGTAAGAAAGGAGAAGCAAGCCTTGGCGCAGAAGCACTAAAAAAACTATCACCATCAAACGAGCCCTGCAGTGGCAAAGAAGAGTAGCAAAAGAGGAATCTTCTCTGATGTACCGCGCGCGATTTGATTGGTCGATTTGAGGATCTAGTGATTTCTGATTGGCTATTTTCAACGACCTGTCGATTGCTTATCCGAGTCATCTTCCGACCATTTTCATCACCCAATGAGGTCATTCACGGATATACAACAGTAGAAATGACAATAGCGGGGAAATATATTTATTGTTCCCTACGCAATGATTGCCAATACCCAAAAAGTAAAAATAAATGCTTTCTTTGATTGCGTGAATTTCACAGACATGATCAACGAATAAGTGATTAGGATTGCCGATTGCTGAAAGACATTTACAAAGATCCGGCGAAGCGAAACGGGAACAGAAAAAACTGCTTACATCATCAAAAATAAACATGCACACTAAGGGATCTGACGATCATTTCACTTTCGTAATGAAAAAAATTGCTCTTCGCCCAATGTCGCGCAGTAGAGAAAACATTATCATTCATAATAAAACACGTCTTAAAAGTGAAAAACGTCGATCGAAATCAAGAAAACTCGGTCAAATTAATCACATTGGCGCAACGTTATGCAAATGTTGTTAAGAGGTGAGAGGGCTCCATTTATGAATTATTAATGACAATAGTCTTTGTTGAAGCTTGAAGGAAACGTGGTTTCGGTGTGCTCTTGTTTTGAAACTGGAACCGCAATTTCTTGCACGTGGACATCGGATTACACATTAAAAGAACAACTGTTATTGGTTGGGAAACAAAAGGCCCAACACACGCGTGAGCTATTGTTCTTAAAACAATTAAGCAACTGACAACTTCCTGATGCCAACCAATCAAAAATCACAAAAATATTGCAACGTATATTATTTTGGCAAGACATCAAAAAATTGGTGAATATATTTATACGCAGTTAAATATTTTTTTTCGCGGGAACTTTTTTTAGCAGTACAGTGCAAGCGGCCAAGAAATTCGTTGAGAGAAGATCGGTCGTCTAAGTGATCGATCTTGCCATGAATTCTACCCATACTTGGGAAAGGTTTTAATACAATTCTGAAAGTAATTATTAGCGAGAGTGACCTTAATTCTAACCGTTTTTCTCTGCCGAGCAAGTTGGATTCGAGGTTGAAACTTCAAGCAACAAGTTGTTGGCTCGCGAAGCGAGCATTCAAGGATCATTGTCTATCGTTTTGGTAAGTTGCATCAGAAAAAATTTACTCTAATCAAAATACAGAATTTCGACCCTATTTTTCCAGGTCTCATCCAAGATATCGATATCCATAAACAAGCCATCTGCTTTCGAAGTTTTTTATTTTGATATCCCGAATAGGAAATGAGTCTAGCGGGTCTTTCTTTACAGTCAAAATGTATATATACAAACAAGAGCAGTCGCTGTGATATGCTGGGGTGCGATGGACCTAGAAGCCGTTAATTTCAATTTCATTTGCTAACACCCTACAAAAGAACACAGTCAGGCTAATGATCATTCACCTCTCGACTAAAATAATTTCGAACTCGACCTGTCTGACAATATTTATACCATCTGTTCTCAGATCGTTCTAGGGGCTTCTATCAGCGTTGCTCATGGATCGAAGCAAACCTGGATTAGTTCGCACAAAGTCTCAAGACAACGAGGTTTGTGCTTCATGTGAGTTGAGCTCGGAGGATAAAGAGTTGTGCAAAGTGATCGGAAGGATCTTGGCAAGAATTGGAGACAGAATGAACTCTTCAGAGATGCTATCAAACGGGCATAGCCTTCAAGCGAACTGTCGCAATGGACATCGTTTGAATGATGATACGAGACCACAGCCAGGAGTAAATAAACTTCCGTAAACACCGGAAAAATTTTATCGATCAATTACTTTTGAAAGTTGTATTTCTACGCAAAAATAATTGTACATATTGTATGCAGATTCACTATGTTAGATGTACTGCTGATACATACATGAGAGAATCATATAGAACCGCTAGCTCTGTAATTTGCGACGCCGACTTTGATCGTTAGAGTAACTGTTTTAACGAAAAAACTCAATCTTCGAGCAGGCTGTAAATATTTTTTTGACAAAAGCAGAACGAAATAAATAAAATCAGCTGATGAATGGCAATATTTTGGTACTTAGTAACCATGGTAGCCTATTGTTCTCGTTTCGCCAAGAATTTTCACACAATGGCGTTTAAACACCGAAAACAACAGTGACACAGCACAATCGTTCTTTGTATGTTGAGCAATGAATGAATCATTGTTTAAAAGGCAAAAACCATCCCGCCTGTACAGTTTACACGATTGGTTTCTTGCCAGCGGAACAAGCGGGTGTTAGCAGCCTCATGAGCGCACAATTTTCGGATGTGCGAATGCCTTGAAACGAAGGAAGCCCTAAAAAAGTCTGAAAAGGCCAAGGTTACTTGAAGCCGCCCTCCGTCACATGTACTTGACATTATTTTTGCGACTTTTTCTGAGCATTTTCTTTCATTGCACTGTGAGGGATTTGATAATAATGTTTTGGCTGCACTTAGACAAGGCAATCTTTGTTTTCGCATTTTCGACTGATTCGCGAAAGGTGATAAAACTAGTTTACAGAGTAGACCCAGGATAGGACCTGACTTGAAACTTCCTTCGCTGTAGGGGGGGAAGTTTTCCCTCTATTTTGGTGTGATTTTCGCTGATTATGAAATGTTACAACAGCGTTTTTCATCTCCCAAATTTTCAAGTCATCACTTTAAAGATTTCTTGAGATAATATCTCGCTTTAAAACAGGATTTGTTCCATCAATATTTTGGTTATTACGTAACAGTGGGATAAAGCTTAGCTAACCAAGGCCGTCAAATTTTTTTTTGTGATCACAATTTTTAATAAAAAACTTATCTCGTGATGTTATTTAACACGCAAAATCTAATATCACGGGAAAGTCTTCGGCCGCATATGTTGCAAGATTTTTTTTTCACACACACTTTGACCCGTGACTAGGACTCGGTCAAAGTATTGAAAATCCATTCGATATTTTTTCTTGTAAACACCCACACAAAATAGAAATTTGTTCTTTGTAATTTCGTGTTTTCTTGGGATAAAAGAAATTAGACGAAAAAAAAATTATCTGGTTACAAAAGAATATCACCATCGTGTCACTGTGATGATAGTGGACCATGATAGCAATACGATATATATGTATGTGTATATATATTTTATACAATATGGCTTCTGTATATCTAAATACACTGTAAACATGCCAGGTAAACACTTCCAAAGCCACTCAAAATGCGTGTTTATGCTCGTCTGACATGCGCGATGAGTGGGCGTCATATAGCGGGCGAGAAATTTTTGAGCAAAGAGTCTGAGCACAACTGTGACAAGGCGACAAATTTTTTGCCTTCGAAGACTAAATACTTAAATTTGTTTGAAAATTCTAGTAAATGACAGATTCTGGATTATAATTTGGAGGTGAATGATGAAAATAAAAACCATGGTAGAAGTTTGATAATGCGTCGATTGTTATAATTGTCTGAAAAATCGATTAATTCGCGTAATTTATCCGTCTCGTCTTGATCAATAAGTGTTTTTTTATGGTATAATTTTGTTTATTTGCTTTTATCATAATTGTTTTTCCACACAGGTTTAGTTGGCCTACAAAAAGTCGCGGTTTTGCACTAACCTATTGGCCAAATTATGAATGTCTTCTTCTCTAAATTTAATTTCATTTTCAACCTTTAAAAATTTTGGGTGCCAGGTTGCTGCCACGTGTTTCAGCATCCATGCACACGTGGTTAAGTGCATGAGATGTGACATATCGAAGGTACGCGTCAAAATCTCGTCAAATTAAGTCTATCTGTCAATTTGCAATAATTATTAGGAACAATCGCCGCGTGAAAACAAAATCTTTAACTTTAATTTTTTTGTCTGCGTTGTTTCAGTGCCTGACTGAAAAATTATGAGGCTATAGATGTGTCGGTAAGTTTTCTCATAATCGGCTGCCGATGATACTGTGCCAGGGAAAGATGAGAGCCTGCTCGCCTTCTAAACAGACGGCGGTTGGGAGGTTTTATAGATGGCGGTAAGCGGCCTTTATCAAAACCCCCTGGGGTTGATCATACTGAATGACTTTTTAGTGACAAGATCATTTAGCTATCGATTCCTTTTAGGTTAATCAACCCGACGAAATTTTAGTAAATAATTGATTTCCATGTTTGATTTGCATAATGTTGAGAATAAATTTAATTTCCAACTCTGCGCGACGTGAAATTCCTTTTTAGATCGAATCTTAAGCGGCATGATTCAACCGAGCATAATCTCATAATAGCAATTAGGTCTTCCAAGAGATATGATGGTAAATTTTACGGATCAAGCAGAGCTTATACAGTTATGAAAATTTTTCTATCCACGCCCGATACTTTGCCTGTTACGTAACAGAGCCGAATATCGAAGTTTATTGCTGACCCGAACACTGAAATGCTTGATCATCAATTATACTCTGATCTTCTGAAAAATTTTCGACATCCATTAGATGTTGCTGTGACCGGCCATGATAAAAGGAAAATCGCGGAAATCGAGTGTCTGATTGATGACGATATGTTGTGAGTACTGTTTCGTACATACCTACACTTCATCCACCATTGGCGAGGCAGTTGTTATTAAAAGGAACTAAACTTCGCAGAAAAATTATTTCAGAAATAATGATCTGTATTATAAACTGTTAGTCTTAGAACTGGCTTTAATTTTTCATTAGAGTAGTTTCCGATGACACTATCCTAAAAACCATATTATAACAAAAAGAAACTGAAAACAGTGGACATGTCTCTTTGTAACAAAATAATTATGTGTAATGACGCTGACGTTGATCAAAGAATTATATCTAGCAAGGTATTAAATATTTTGCGTGGTTAATTTTTGCGAAAATCGCGAAAACTATTTCTCGGGAAAGTAAGAGACTACACAAGGCATATGCCCGATGAGTTCCCTGTAGCTCAGTACCGACAGAAATACATCAGAGCGCAAAATCCGAATGTCTGAGTTTACTATTCTCGATAAGAGATCGGATTTTTTATGTTTGTCCTATGCTTGTGATAAAACATAAACACGTGACTGAATCACTTGATTAATTTTCTCACAAACCCTATTTCTCGAACAAAATTCAAAAATTCAACCTTGCAAGGTGTCGAAGCTCGGCAGATCCACGCATTAAGTGCTCGATAGGAAAACGTGCGTAAGGTATGTGGAAACAAGGCCTAGGGAAAATTCGTTCTTCGCTGATTTTGAGAAAGATTCAGTAAGAACGCGTTGCGTCAAAAATTCAGTCTCGATTTTCCTTCCCTCGTGTTTCCTGGGAAGGGTCCTTCGACTCTTCTCAGGAAACACCCTTATCACGACGTCAGTATTCTATCGGCTCATTGAACAAAAACTAACTAAGGACTGGGAACGATTCTGCAAACGGGCCGGTCTACATGACGTTTTCTCTGCGCATGTCTATCGGGGGCATGAAAACAAGACTGGCTGGCAGCGGAAATCATTGAAGAACTGTCACTTCTTTCACAGTTTTTCCAACTACGTCAATTATCAGTGAGAGAAACCCTACTTTTTTCCGCTTACTGGGTAAGTTTTGGCCAGCTTTCAACTGCCATCCGGTCCAAATTTTCTCGCTGATATAAAAAAGCGATCTCTCTCGCTCTCTTTCCGGTTTTTCTGTGAATGAAAGCTTAATTGAATAGGAAAATCAGACCAACGAGGTAAACACAATTTCGGCGTAGACGACACTCTCTATTCAAACTGATCTTTCTTTAGTCTTCATTGGTACCAAACCAAGGAACGGTTTTTATCAATTACTATTTTTCCCAGGTTTTCCTATTAGGTATGTAAAAGAGTCTTTTACCTTTTTATTCCTGAGTCATGTAAGAAAAAGTAATGATACAGAGCGGAACTCAACTGATATTTTCTTAATTCACGTTGTTTACCCCTTCCTGGCAATCATTCATCTATCGCGGGGATTCTTTTTTTTCTTTTTTTTTTTTTCATCGCATGATCGCCTACATGTTGCATCACGCGGTTAAATCTTTCATACTGTAAATTACACCTCATAAGTTATGTAACGATACAATTGTTTTAAAGTGAGACAAAAGAAATTATGTAACCACCGGCCTACTTGAAAAAAAGGGCGCTGCCCTTGTTATAAATAATATTTAATAAAGGAACTCCAATGAGGAAGTTTTTCATGAGATCGAACACTTAGTTGGTGATTTAATGAAATACATAACAATAAAATGAAAATATTTTCCTAATATCCAAGAAGCGTCAAAATCTTACGATATGGATTAAAACGAATAGCATATAAAAGTACAATTTACTTAATTTAATTAAAATATTCTTAAAATTTTTCAGTTTTCCTTTGAAAACAGACAAAAATCTTGTTCCTTTCAAGTCAATATAAAGGATGTTTCAGTCTTTGGTAGCTTGGTAGGCGAAAATATTCATAAAGCCACCGATCTCGCTTTTATAAATCTGCAGACATTTCGATGAAAGCTAAATATTGCCTCATGGTTTGTATATCTTTTAAATTTATCCTAGTCATCGATGTTGTTTCTTAATAAATTTTTGCGCTTTCTTAACAGAAGTATGACTTGCTGGTCTTCAACTGAGTTGTGGTATTACTCAGCGGTGATGGTGGGGGGTGGTGTACGGTTGTGCTGACAGAAAATTTAACGAACAATCAAGAGCCTCTATTGTTAGCGATAAAAACTTAATGTTTGATTCAGTATTGATAGCTAAAAAAGAAATGAAATGCTGGTCACTTTAAGGGGTTAAATGGTTATGTGCAGTTTCACTGTTTTAGCGTCTTTAAGGGGGGCACTGTCTTTACGGACCAGAAGCCTTAAATCGAGTTAAAACAATGTCGATGAGTGGTTCACATACGAAGACAGTTATTGAAAAACGAACTCCAGGATAAAATAAAGAAATAAACTAACTTTCTGTTCAGTGCCTTCCCCAGATTTTGCGTTGTGCAAAAAGTGACTCCTGATATATTGCTTCATAGCTAATTAAAACTGAAAGACATGGCACTTTTTCGGTGTGTTCAACAAAACGAGATGACACGCACGCCTATTTCGGATAAGAATCTTTTTG